AAAAGTAAACATTGTCAAAACAAATTATCTTTTTTATCTCAAGTAAAATTGAGATCCAACTAAATGTAATATTCTCAACATCAAACCAACTAATTAACTCCTAATTCAAATGGAATTAAAATCTCCAGTAAATTTGCAATAAATCTTTATGAAATCATCAATACAAAAGTTGAGCATGTTGAAGTCGATACTTGACCTCAATTTCCTTAAAAATTCTGCACAAGAAATGCACATAAGAAAATTTAGAACTATATAATAATAGAAATTAGATGCCCATTAACTAGAACAATATATGATCTAGAGAATTAAGCCTTTCTGGTCGGACAACTGGACTAGTATTGGTCCCCTAGCTTCCTAGTGGCCAAACTTTGGATAACATTCAAGTCAAGGATAAATAGGTGCAACAATGAGATGCTACAAAAAATTAGTTCCTACAAATCCAGCACTACATCAACCATATCCGAATAGGAAAAACATCAATGACACTCACAAAAGACTTCCTTATTAGATTGGAGGATCATAACCAAGAGAGTCCCCCAGATGATACCATTGTGAAGTATCAAAAGAATAACGTTAATAATGGATTTCAACAACAAATATCCAGTCCTAGTTTTCAACATCAGACTCCAAACTGCACATGTTTCCCCACTCCTAATCTTTTTATGAAAAGCATATATGCCAATAAGGTATGGTCTTTCTTTGCCAATTTCTAGGAATACTTCATCAAAATCATAGTAGCCTCATATTGAGTTGGTGGGGATATAAAAAATGACTAATTGGATTTTTCTAAAAAATAAACATATTAAGGAATTGATGCAAAAGCAGTAATTATACATATGAAATTTTCCTCCTTTTGAAAGAAAAGAAAGATCTTGAAGTTTTTTCAAACATACCCACTTCTTTTTATTTGTGCCAACTACGGTAGTTCCAGTCTTCTTGATCATGTTTGCCTGAAAAAAAACATTAAATTGATTATTTTGATACTTTACGAAATACAAAACTTAACATTTCATTGAATACATAAGTGTGCCAATTTTTCCAGAAGGAAAATAAAAAAAAGAAGATATATGCTTGCTTCAACAAAACAAACAAACATATCTTTAAGAGTCGAAGCAACACAATACCAGAATTTTGGTATCCTGCTTGATACTTCCCCATAGGAAAGAGACATGACTTTCCTAGTTACTCTGTGGCAGTTCAAACATTAAAAGCAGAACAACAATAGAAGTTCTGTAAACATCATAGTCCAAAGAAATTGTTTATAGTCTGGTTCAAACTTGAATCTTTAAGAGAAATCTCAATAAGAGTATATCCAACAATCCAATAATCCTCTCCTAGGTCGAGTCATTTTAAATAACTATTGTACCACTTACGAGATCTATACTATAAACTTAAAAGCACATCCTTGTAATATCATAGTTAACAAAAAACATCCTTCAAATATCTAAACATTAACAAATCCCATCCATTAGTTAAAGACCGTTAAAAATCTAACGGAGTGGGTGAAATTCACTAAAAACCTCCTCAGATTTGAACACTTCACATTCTCTCATTTCTCAGAAATATGAATTTTAACTCATGATTGTTTTCATATGCGGTATATGTGTTGTTCAGACTGTCTTTACTCTTAATTAGAATAAGGTAAATTAAAGGCAATAGCAAGTATAGTTAGTTTTTTTCGATAATGATCCAAAACCAATGAAGGTAACAGTGTCCATATTCTACAAAAACAGGAAATATTTTCCCTCTCAATTTGGTTCTTTATTTTTAGCAATCAAAATTTAGCTAAGAGCTAACAACTTATTGTTATTATGCTAATGTATATGTATATGCTTTGGCAAAAAAAAAAAAAATCATAAAAGTGTCAGAAATGTCAATCCAATTACATCTTGTGCATATTTCATCTGGTAATGCTACTAACATATTTCTCGTTTCATTCACATTATAATACATATTTACAAAATCTCCTATTTTCTATCTTTCATTTTGTTTCTGCTCTTTCACTGTGAGCACTCAATGGCGTCAGCAGAAAGACGAAGTACTAATATTTAGAGATGATCGATGTTGAATCTACCGGTTAACCAACTTAAGGAGGAAGAAGATTGACTATGATTAAAAAAAAGAACCTAGTTGCAAATAGGGAAACTATAGTAGTATCACATGACTTTCAAAATGCTCTATTAGATTTCAAGCAGTTCTTGACAGAAGGGTGAAACTTGCTAGATTTTCAATAGTTGAAGGATGTTCCTTGTTCACTATGATATTACAAGGATGTACTTTAAGTTTGGGGTATAGTTGAGAGATGTTTTTAGCCAAAAACTCTAAATTTCTTTTATCTCTTTGTAAGTATTTCTGATAGTTAAAAGACTCATATCCCAAAAAAAAAAACTCGCAGTTCCCAAAAAAGGCAGAAACCAGAAACTACTTAATGAAAAAATATGTTCATTATTGTAACCCATGTTCTTCAGTCTTCTTATCAAAACCCATGTTATGTTGATTTGACCCATCAAATCCTTCAGCACTAGTGTCCATATCAACAAAATTAGATGTAGGAGGAATTCCAAATGCTTCATGTAACATGTCTTGCATCTCATCACCTTTATCTAACTGATTGACCAATTTTGATGAAAATAGCTCCTCACCATGATAAATCCAACTAGTGTAACTAGTTAGAAATCCATCAACCACAATATGTTCAACAATCAAATCTTTTCGAACAAATTTCATATTACGACACTTTCGACATGGACACAATATTGCAGATGCATCTGGCCTATCTAATGATGCAAAATGAAGAAACTCTTTGGCTCCATTCTCATATAAAGGATCAAGCCTATTCAATATATTTATCCAACTTTTATCCATTAAGTATATAACCTATACATATAGCAAACAAGAATTATACCCTCATACTATTAAAGACTAATACCTCCATACTATTAAAGAAAAAAACAAAACACATTCTAACCTGCAAAGTCCACACAAAGAGTCCTGAAATTGATATGTAGTCGACTGACAGGAAAAAATAATACAACATCACAGATAGACTCAAGGCAGCATCATTACCAAGAAGAAGAGCCATATCACCAGGAAGAACAGTGGCAAACTCAAAAAAAGAAGAATAACAAAAACAATACAAACAATGAGGAGAGACCTAAGACACCTCAAGAACAGATGGATCAGGTAGATTCCCAGAAAAGTCACAGTCATATAGGTAAAAATATTATTACTCATAACTCTTATACTGATCTTGTTGAACCAAATTAGTCCAACAGTCAAGGTACCGTCTAGGAAAACATGATTTGTCTGAGAAGGAAATTCAAAGGCTTCGAAGATCACAAGTATTGACTCAATGCTCCCATTACCCCTCACCCCTTTAGATAATTGTTTAAATCTTGTGAAAGCTGTTGGAGTGTTGGATGGAGGGTTGGAGGAGAATATTACTAACTTGCTGATGGTGATTTTTCCCCTGTTCTCAGGGAAGGCCAAAGTTTGTACCTTTCAATGATGAATTGACGGAATCTACTATGCAGATATACAAAACTTCTTTTGCTTTTAGGAATAGGTAATGTAGTTTTGGTGGATTATCTTAAAATAATGCTTGGCAAATTGCAATGTCGTTTTTGTCATATGTGTTGTCTTTTTCCATATTTGTTCTTTGTACTATCTGATTGGGGCTGATTCAGGAAAAGAAAATGTTCATTATTCTTGTTTATTATCTTCAAGCCACAATACTTCAACATCTTCTTGAAAATGAATTAATTTTGGTTTTCACCTAATATGTTCATCTCATCTGGAGTACTAAATGTCACATCTTTCTTTTATTGGTTGTCTCATACTATTTTCTTATATTAGTATAGTTAGTACTGGTAATTAATTGAGTTCTGTTGTAGCTATTCTTATTTTCAATTATTGTCATTTTTGCAGAGAATTCCCAATTGAGAATAGGAAGGCATTGCAGTTCATTTACAGCAGCAAGTAGTTCAAGACAAAGGGAGGTTTGGCAGCTGGAACTGCAACTACCAATGTATATCATAATGCACATTTCAAGAAGACAATGAAGGCAATGCAAACCCCTTAGGAAAGATAACCATTAGCTTAATGGCATCCTAATATCTTACTCTTCGGATGCCATTAAGAAAAGATAACCATTCTTAAAGCATGTCTCTAGCACACATATCAGCAAATGGAAAAGAACAGAATACCTTAATGTAATTTCTAAGTTATAAACATGAAAAGAAACTACTTAATAAACATGAATGTTTTTCAGTGAACTTCAACACTAGGTTCCTATTGATATGATTTTTATGTCAATCTAGTTCTAGATTTAATAGAATAGGCCAAAAATGATATTTTTTCTTGACACTAGTAAACTTATAGCCATTAAGTAACACGAAGAAGAAAAACAATTCGACACCAAGCTAATTCAAGGACCTATTCAAAACTGAATACATGAAG